CTTATTTTTTTAATTTTGAAATGTATGATAGTTAAAAATTTTCCTTTTTTATATGTGCTTGACCCGGACACTCAGAATTAATGTTTGTCCACGCCAAGGTGCTGTACTGCTTTTTCGATTTTCATGGCCCAGACAACTGAATTCAAAGTTTGACCAGATGAGTTTATGTAGAAAGTTCTCACCATCACAGCTCATACTATTCTTGAAATTGATAACTTTTGATCGGAACAAGCCATAGTCCAAGACGGAAGATGAAGGTTTGGGGATTCAATTCATTGTTAAAAATGATATATTTATAAATCAGTGGCAAGCATGTGATGGAGGAAATATCACGTTGATCAACTCGAAATCGATTATTTAATTGAATTAAACCTATTAAACTGAGCAACCTCGTATTATGCTTAAACTTGGACCCATTTCACTTAATACTCTTGGCCCTTTACATTTCTCTCTATAAATGAGTCAACTTCACAAAATGTATATAATTCTAACCCTAGTCAAGCACTTATGTTATTTCTTGTCTAACTGTTAACTAGACCGTTACAATGCAAATGGTTGTCCAGCCTTTTTCTCGAATTGTGATCTTTGTCTACTAACGAAGTGTTAAATTACGCAAGTGGTACATACATGGAGGAAATGTGCTCGAAATTTCTGTTGACCACACGTTCGTCGAATTTTGAGATCGACCAAAAATATGAAAAATTATTCATTGTGATTTATAAACCACATGAAAGAAAAGAGGTGTTCTCCTCACGTAGAGAAACTATTGGACATATCAACAAATCAAAATGTGCAAATGTGGTTATTATACTTCATATCTTTTCATAAAAAAACGTACGTTTTTCTACTTTATTTATTATATTCTTTTTTGTATTTGTTGACCTCAAAACCTAATCGGGATTCATCAAGTCAACAAATATCGCATCCGGCATCCGTTACTCTCCAAGTTTAAGTTAATGGCGCACTTGAAATGCATGCATTAGATGCACAAGATTGGGTCCCCTCCAAACACAAAAAAAGTGGGAAAAGTCACAAACTGTGCTATACGTCCTCAAATATCTTTGTACAATTTCTTCACCTGTAGTCGAGACTCGAGATTATCCTCCCAGGATGAGAATTTTTTTAATTTTCTTTTTTGGTTTTTCTCTACTAGCAGTCAAGATTATCCTCCCTAGTCAATATTTTATTTTTCTGATCTAGATTA